CCAGCTAGCACCGTACGGGGCTGTGAGCACCCAGGGCCCAATGGGAAGAACACACCAGTACCGGGCAGAAGTATAAATCAAGGTGCAACACCCAGGAAATGATTCATTCCTGCATAAACCATGTGGAAACACTGTTGCAGCGACTTGTGTGAGATGATCTGCAGAGAGCCCGGAGGTCGGAGTGGGCGAGAAGTAGATGCAGCCATCGCTGTAGAGAGAGCACGGGGTGTGTGTGTGCGCGAACAATGAGTTGGACACAGTGTTGATGGGGGGTTGTGAGCATTGTGCCCCGCGGTCGTCTGGTGGGAGCTTGTATGCGAACTATGTTCCCAAATTGCGAGGTCTTCGAAGCTTGAGTTTGGGCGCTAATCGCCAGTTTGTCGTACCGCCTGTTCGCATGCACGTGAAGCGAGTGAGAAAGTGAGTCTGACTGCACTGGTCTCGGAGCCGGTACCCGACATCCCGCGCCGCCGCGCGCCACAGGGCGCTGGAGTGGAGGAATGTCACCGTGAAGGAAAGTCTGCCATAGCTGCACTGCGGAGGGGGGCGTGCACCTGCATACAAGACAACAACAGAGAGGGGTGAGCACRTGCCTGGAATTGGCGGCGGCTTGCAMGGTCGGCAGCCGGCGAAGTGAGCAATCAGCAGGATCGGCGATCTGCAGGGTCGGTCTATATAGACACTGTTGTGGTTGYTGTTGGGAGTAGCTCTTTGAAGAGTGGGTGCCGCTGCTGCTGGGGCAGACRCATTGAAAGGCAGTGTTGTTGCATTTGCTGGGCACTTGCTGGGGACAAAGGAACGGTGTAGAGGGAGAGGGTGTGTTGTATTTGAACGCAGCCTTTCTAGGCTRCGTAGTGGCGGATTGGTTAGAGAGAACAGCATCACGACTGAAGTGGATGGTCAGGCTTGGAAGATGGGGCTACTGCTGCAGCTTGGAGATCTGTCGGGACACTTGTGCATTGCGTTCCGGTCGTGATTCTGACCGTCTTCTGCTGCGTTTTTCTGGCCACCATTGCGGGGCCCTCAGGCGATTCCAAATTTCAAGGCCCTCTTACTGTGAGTTGAGTTGACCCTCTCTTAGATCTCGAGAGTCTGACTTATCTTCTTCTATCTTTTTTACCCTAAGTCTAGTCTGAGGTTACGAGAGGAAGGCGGCAGGCGGGATTGCAACCCATAGGACCGCAGCAAGACCTTGTGGGAGGTCCACCCACCGATTGCGGGAGCTCTACCAGCGCCCGGGCAGGATTATGGAGGCAGGGAACACTCATGTATAAATTCGTCTTACTCGTGTGATCCCGTATTCCCCTTAAACTACTACCTTTTTTCCGGATGAGACTATGATAAAACTATTTTTGACTTTATATTGTTTGTACTTATTTTTTGAACCGTTGCAAACTGAAAGAAACGAAATTTGTGTGAAAGTCAGATATTTGACCTGTTTGAATTAAGAAAAGGAAAAAGGGGGAAGTGCGAGAAAGGTGTATTGCATGCGTTTGACTGGGTCAACCCAAGGTTGAGCTTCTCTAAGTTAATGTGGGCTCAGTGCTGTGTTTATCTTTGTTTGCTGAGCTGTCTGAATGAACCTTGTATGACTGGGCCTATCCTAAGTTGGACAGACGAGTCGGTGTTTTTCTTCGGGGGTTTCTGAACAGGAGGATGGACACCCTAAGTTGGGAGGACTCACAAATCCTGATGTTTGTTTTGGGTTGCTGAAAACAGAGCTGGGAATACTCTATGTTGCGTAGACTCAGTTCTGTGTGTGTTTTCTTCTATGGGGGACTAAGGCATAAGACTGAGCGTACCCTTAAGTTAGGGCGACTCAGTCATAAGCCATAAACAAAAAGGCCAACCAAAAGTATAAAATTTTGATATATATTATACGAATCTATATCATCTGGCAGACCGGACACCCTAAGTTGGGAAAGTCAATAAGTCAGGTAGAATAAAAAGAAAAGAAAAGCAAGTGAGAAATATACTGAAAGTAACTCAGGCAGGCTGAGCGTACCCTTAAGTTATGGCGGTTCAGTCCTATGCTCGTGATAACACAAAAGAGGTAGAGAGTTACTATAAATCTTCTTTTATTTTCCTTTCTAAACACAAGGCAGGGTTGGATGTCTCCCTAAGTTGGGTAGGTTTGACCATCTGCCTAAGAAGAAAAGGAAATTATAAAGTTTGTACAAAGTGTTTATGGTTGTTTAAACTGTCGTTGCGGAGACTAAGCGTACCTTTAAGTTAGGGTGGCTTAGCCATACGTCGTTTGTGGTTGTTCAGGCAGATCAGGCATACCCTTAAGTTAGGGCGGCCTGGTCATATTGTCTTATGTACCTAAAACTGTTTAGGCTAGCTAGGCGTACCCTTAAGTTAGGGCGGCCTAGTGATATRCCCTTGTCSTTGATGCGATGTAGGTTGGACGGACCCTTAGGTTAGGGCGGTCCGACYATTCGTTGTTCGTACTTCTTTTAGGCAGGTTAGGCACATCCCTRAGTTGGGGCAGTYTAATCCTATGCCATATGTAACTTGTTTAAAGCTGACTAGGCACACCCTTAAGTTATGSCWGTCTAGTTCTATGCTTCATGTTGTCATTTAGGCAGAAGTCAGGCGTACCCTTAAGTTAGGGCAGTCTGGTCATATGATTTATTTTTATAGTTTATGTTATGTCGGGCATACCCTTAAGTTAGGGCAGTCTGGACATACGTTTTTGTCATGTGYTGGTCATACCMTTAAGTTAGGGCAGTCCAATTGTGCGTACTTTACTTRTTTACTTAGGCAGGTTAGGCATACCCTTAAGTTASGGCCTTRTCCGACCGTATGTCATAAGCAAGGGGGACATAAGAAGAGAAAGAACTAAGTGATCTAACGAACTACTTGGCCTAAATYGATGTGGGATKGTGAAAATTGATTGTTTATGCATGCTTGCAGTCTTGGAGACTCTCACTTTGGGGCGTCTTTTGGATAGTTTAGTTGTTTTAGATGCTCGCTGAGGCTGGAACCATAGGCATATGAGATGGATGATGAGAAGGAAGTTTGGGATAAGATAGGACTGACCCTGCTGGGAGTTAGGATCAGTGTTAGCTCACGATCTCATCTAGAGGTTGTGCAGACTGTCGTTGATTCTGAATTATTAAGCAGGTGTCAAAAGTTAGTCTCAAGTATAACTTTGCTTTGTCTTTCTGATTTCAGCGTTGTATAAATCTTGGCAGCCTCCTATTCCTACGGAAAGCGCTGCCGAAATTTTTACAAATCTGAAAGAGTTAGTCATTTTTTGACTTGTAGAAATTTTGGAAAGACACTTTTTCTACGGGAAGCGTTGCCGAAATTTTGTTAAATTTAGAGAGTTAGATTATTTTCAGCTAGGAGAAATCTAGCAATCCATCCTGTTTAGGGGATATGCTGCCGGAATTTCTTATATTTTTGGATAAACATCAGAGGTTAGTTAGGAAGGCAGAATTATATCTTGATCACTCAAGCATGGCTTGGGTACTGGCCTGTGTTGCATTGCAGATCACCTTTATTCAGATTGATTCAAGGTTTGACTATCTTCAAACTGATCCTACAAGGATCACTTTCTATTTTCCTTCAATAACACGTCGGTTTCTGACTCAACTCTAATTCATTCTTGCTACTCAACCTAAAGGCTTTAGCCCTATGGTTTGATTTGTTTTGTTGTGTTTTACCCGGACTTCAATTGACTGGCCATTTAATAAAGATGCTAAGTATTTTATTTTGAGAGTTGCACAAAGAGTGAGGCTTGTATGGCTAAAGCGAGGGGTGAATGGTTGGAGTTGACCCCGTGTAGTGCATGGACTTTTGGTTGAATCTTTGATGTGATTGCAGGTATGTTTGTTGATTCAGACTTTGGATTTGACTGCCTACGATTACTTAAGTATATATGGCTGAGAGAAATTCCACTGTGATTGTGAGAAGTGATCGTCACATATTTATAACCTTCTGTATATATGTACATACATATGCGTTAGGTGTTCGAGCGAGCTATTGTAACCGTGTGCAAGGGTTAAACAGGTTATGCGTTGAGAGAAAAGGGAGATTTCCCTTTTATCCTTTTACTTTTTAAGATTTTAAAGTTGGACGTTGTAATCCGTGACAATCGTCAAAGTCAAACCTCTTGATTTCCGGTTGCCACGACAACTTGAAGTTGTCTACTCAACCCCTCTGCACAGGGTGCAGAAGAGGGTGTGGTCTTCAACCGCACGTGGCGGTTGTCTAGCGTCGAGAGATTAACCCCTCAAGGTGTGTATCAACCGACACTTGAGTATTGAACGTGACCCTTGAGGTTATCGAGGGTCGCGCGATTGCAGACACCACATAGTACCACATCGTTGTGAATGGTTGCATATGCACGCATGGCTGGTCGATATGGGAAGGTCGTGCGTCCGCGCGACTTTTATATAAATTCCAGCGCGTGATACCAATCTGATTCTCACCTCATAAGGTTATGGGTCGGATACCAAAGAGACTGGGAGTGTGTCGTTTTCCTTTTGCTTGTGTGTGTGTGTGTGTGCGGGTTACTTACATTTTGTTTTAAAGCGGTGTGAGGCGTGGTGTTTGTGATGCGTCCTAGTCGACCGACGCCGAGTCGTGCTTGGGACCTCAGCCCCCCAGTGCGTCGGCTCGCGTACGGGTTCGATTTTGGGCGTTGACCGTGCGTACCCCCTATGCTACAGCGAACGAGAAACGCCCTCGGTTGGGCCACCTCTGCGATTGCATACGAAAAGCCTTCGCATGTGGTTCAGTAGCTCGACGAGGATACACCCACCTAACTGATGGTGACAGCTCCCGCAAGTGGAGGTAGCGGTGCCTCGCGTGACCTGTCCTGTCGTGGGGGCTCACAAAAGGTACGGCTGGCGCACTCGGCCGAAGCGGCAAAATGCTCATCCGCGACAAGTCCTGCCAAATCCTGCGTGACGCGGCCGGGAGGGTCCCCGTGAGGGACCGATGCGCTCGACAACGGGGTGACAACTCTGAGTTGCTAGTAGGTGCGAGGCGACGTACCTCCTGCATCGGGACAAGGAGGGGGATGGTGAAGTAGTGAGAGTGAAAGTGGGATGCTGGGGTATGTGATAATTTCTCTCCTGGCCGTCTTGGAATTTTCGGTTTTGGTTTTCGTCGTTCCCGTTTTCGTAATTGCGGATTAATACCTGATTGTGTAAATCTTTTTCTTTCTTCGGAGTACCTCTCACATCTCTTTCCTTTATGAATGATGTTGGATATGATGATTTTGGCTTGATCGTTTCAGTCTTATATGCCCACTTCCTAGTTATGATTGGAGAGCATGGCTGCACGTCTAGCAGTAGTTTGTTAGAATCGATGAGAATTAATGAAGTTGGTCGTCTTGGGTTGTCTGGTGAAGGGATCTTATGCAACCCTGTCACCTGTGTATGCACTACGACTCGCCAACAACACGGTCGGTCGCGTATACATGCGCTCGCATAATCCATCCCTGTCTGGCCTGTAAGTACCATTCTGCATGGATAAGAACGGACTCGTCTGCGCAAATCTTTAGCATAGAATTCAGTGTCCCTTCTCAATTACGACTGCCCCTATCGCCCAATGGGCTTGTGCCAAAGCTAAACGACAAAAGTACCGCCTGGAGACCTGTCCTAGGCGCCAGCCGCCCATCCTGCACCGCGAAATGAGAAAGCCCCTTCTTCATCCGAGCGTCTTTGCATCTTCATCCTTAGAACCCTGACACCAGAGATTCCAGTTCCAACCTGGGACTCCACCCCCTTTTCGTAAAATCCTTGGCACACCCCCTCTTCGCAACTTCCGGGCCCACTCCCGGTCCGATATTAAGGAAGTCGTGCTGGGCGTGAGGTTTGGGTGTCACACCCCACCTTAAAATCAGCTAGACTTACCCCACCTTAAAATCAGCTGGACTATGTGTGGGCGAGTTGAGGACATGAGTTACTGGTTGATCTGGTGCAACGATGGGCTTAGACTCTAGGGGTAGAGCAGGGATATAAGCCCTCCGGCTAGTCTGAGTTCCGCCTAGCCTTAGGCAAGCAAGGGGAAGGACGGTATGATGTGTCCGTGGGCGCCAGCTTGCCTCATCCTGGGGTCTGTGCCTGCTTCTCAGGCAGAAACTCTCATTAGGACTTAGAGGCTGGTGGAAGATTGGTCGTCCGATTCGGCTTCCACCAGGGCTGGGTCATGGCTAGCCTTGGTGCCTGTCACTGCTGTTCGGTCCAGGTTGCCCTCGGTACTGGTAGGGTGTAGGGTAATGGTACTGAGTGCTGGTCACACTGAGGTGTGCGCTAGGAGTAATGACGCTAGGATGGGCTGGGAGGTGGCCTGGTCTTCTCAGGACAACCATGGCTGACCGCACCCGGGCCGAGGTCCCATTAGCAAAGAGGATCGGATCGAATGCCCGAATGTGGACGTTGTTCTATGCAGAGATGCAGAAAAGCAGTTCAATCTCGATTTCCTGCACCTCTCAACAAACACGTCCAGATTCAGGCATTCGATCCGATCCTCTTTGCTAGTGGGACCACGCCCCCGGTAATATTCGCTGGCCTAGTAACTGGCCTCTACAATAAAAAAAAAAAAAAAAAACAAAAAAAAACGAAAAGAGAGTGGGTGGGGACCCATGAGGAGAAAACACCCAACCGAAAAGAATAGAAAACCACCCTCGAGGAAACCACTACAAAACACTTCCCCCTTCTAGTCGACCTCTTAGAAGAATCAGCTGGTGTGACAGGTGGGCAGCGGCCGTATTAGTCGCTCATGCCCCTCGCGATTCCAAGGTTCCTCTACAATTTCACAGCTCAAACATAGAAGAGACGGCCTCACACATGCGTCTTGCTGAACACCCCTCGTCATTCCTCTTATACTCAACCAGCGAACAAGCAAAGAAGAGTGGGCGAACGCCAGCGCGCCTCAGGGTACAGCGTGCCTTCGCCACACCTTGGGAGCTTCATCGCACCTTCCCTTACGGAAGAAAAGACAGTAGCGCGGGCGGGAGTTGCAGCACCGCCCGCGCAGATATTGTTCCACCACTTGTCGTTTTGTGCTTTCTATGCCTGCGCAGATATTGTTCCACCACTCGGAAATGCAGGAAGGAGAGACGAGTCCCAAGCTCTAGCTTGGTCAAATGCTGAAAAGAATCTTGACTTTGGATTTGCCAGTCATTTGGCATGGTTAGACAGACAGCTCACTCAACCTCATCCCGGGTTTTCTAAACCTTTTTTTCCCCCGAATAAATCCTTTCTTATGAAAGGAGTTAGGAGACCTTATTGTATTCTTTTGATCCAATCAGGATTCAACCTCATGTGTGTTTATTAGCAAAATGGCGTGTGTGTACCCTTCATCGTCACGAGGTTGGGTGGCCTCAGCCTGTGCCGGTCCTACCACGTTTCTCCATTCTAGAGCAATTTATCAGATATATATTTTGTGTCATCTTTTCTTTCCGCGTTGTGATAGTCACAACAGGCAATCTGTGGAGAGTACTCTTAGAGTGTGGGGCACACGACGTGAGTGACGTGTACTGACTTCTATAACTTCATTCTTGTCAGTCCTCTTTGGAGAGATCCTTTTCCTTGAGACAAGCGATAGAACATGAAGTTGCCAGATTACAGAAAACCCGTGGCAACAATCTTCTTAGTGTGAGAAAGAGTGCTAGGCAGCTGTATGTGCTGGTATTACAGGACGAGATTAGTGCTTGGTTCTCCAGCTATGTGGGGCTGAAGGTGTCAGTCTGAGAGTACTCTACCGGTGCCCACGTGCTAGACGGTGGTTCTTTGCTTTGGCTTCTGATTCAAAAGACTAAGGAAAAATTTTGGGGGATACTTCACACTGTGCAGCCATGGACAGTAGTGAGTTATTGACACCCAAACAATTATCCGAGGAACATGACAAGAAGCTAATGGATCATGCCCGCTTGGCTATTGAGGAGTTTGTAGCCAATAGAAGACATTTTTTTAGCTTCAATTTCGAAAGGTGTTTTGATCGGGTTGTGGTTTCAATAGGTGACGATGCCATTGGTAGGAGGCCAGAGTTGTGGCTGCATATGCTTAGCGTATTAGCCGAGCACATCATCTCATTTACGTACTTCGACTTTGATTTCAACGGTATTGTAAAATCATGGCTGCCCCGTTCCAACATTCCAAATATATCAATCATCGAGGGTTTTCTGAGGTCGCTTGCAAAAGCATTATCCTCAGGTGGTAACTCCATTGCTTCCCTTGAAAAAATCAGAATCAGGGCTCTGAGTCAGTTGGATCAACCTGCCCGTTGTTTGCGAATTCTCTCTGATTTTTTTCAGCAGCCCTACTGTTGGGTTAAATGCCTTGATATCACACTTGACAGTGCTGATAATGAGTGTGCTGCATTGATTCAAGGTATGATTTCCAATGCCCATTCATTAGAAAAGCTGGAATTCATGCCGCCTTTTGAGTGCATGGGAAGTGAAGGTTGTCAAGTAATGTCTGTCAACATGGTCCACGCTCTGCTGGCTAGTGAGAGCCTACAGTCTTGCAAGCTTTGGTGGGTTCCGGACATGGCACTCACCACTTTAGCCAAAAGCCTTGCATCTATGGACATAGGCTTTGATGGTGGCACTCCTGCAGAACCGTTGGTCACACCCCTGAAAATGAAAAGTGGGCTACAAGGGCAGGGAGTGCGAAGAAGATCTCAACTCAAAGATGTGAGCCTCATCAACAAAAAGCTTAGCCAGGAAGCAACAACTGCCCTTGCAGCCATGCTGGCAGCAAACAACACTCTTAAGAAACTGCGCATTGATTTTGACGTCTTCGACACTTATGAGGCAGCTCAGGCAGACATGAAAACGATTGTGAAAGGGTTGCAGAGTAATGTTTGTCTTGAAAAGCTCGATTTGCGATTTGACAATATTATTGAAAAAAATATGACACTCCCATCTGAATTGAGGGCAGAGATGCTCTCTGCCTTGGAGTCCAATAAGACACTTCAGGAGCTTGCTTTCAATCGGAGATCTGACAGAGTTATTGATCGTAAGTTGTCAAGAAACAAGACTGAACGGCGGTTGCTGGAGGCTGGTGGAGGCTTGGAACGCACTACCAGCAGCCACATCAGATGCTTTTTGGCGGGTGAACCTCATGTGGGTAAGTCGACCTTGAAGGATTCCATTTGCCGTGGAACATTGGAGTACTGCATAGACAAGATGAAGCAGATGACACCTGGTGATCGGCCTGCCAAACCTCGAACGAAGGGCATTGAGATGGTCCATGTCGCATCGAAAGGGGTCAACATCCAGTTCTGGGACTTGGGTGGACAACCTGAGTACCACACCATGCATGATCTGTTCATGCCAACTCTAGGAGAGGACATGGCAGTTCCACCCATCTTCTTGCTTCTATTTAATCCGGTACTAATCGAATGCGAGCAAGTAATCACTGGTAACTCATTGAAAAGTGGAAACAGCTTGGCTGCTGAAGTTGAGAAGAGACAGTGGGATGAACTTCTTCAACGACTGAGGTACTGGCTGAGATTCATCGCGACAAACTGCAAAGCCGAAAGGAAGCCTTGTGTGATTCCAGTATGCAATCCCCACTTGACTCAGAAGCAAAAGTTGTATGATTGTTACCCTCGTACTGGTAAGGTGGTCCGCCGGATATCTCAGGAGTTTCAAGAGACACTTGATATTACGGACAAGGTAATCCTTATCGATGCCAGAAAGAATGGTGATGCAAAAAGGGTCCAGAAGTTATTGTTCAGTAAGGCCAAGGATCTTCTCCACAACACCAATGTGCTGCAAATCATGGAGAGAGTGCAAACGTTGGTGGTGAAGTCCAGTGGATCAAGGATTTCCCTTATGACTTGGACCAAGTTTCGTGGACTCTGCTGGCCAGGAGATATTGCAAGAGAGTATCAGGAGAGAAGTCCCAGTGGAGCAGAATTATCGGGACCTTGTAAGACTGCGTTGGATGGCAATCTCCTCCTGAAAGTCATGGTGAGCTATCTCCATGACATCKGGCAAGTTATTTGGTTTGAGYCRATGCCATTYGTAATTACGAACCCCCAGTGGTTCTGTTGCAGTTTCGTTGGTGAGCTCATCCCAACAGAATTTCATGCCAGTGGAGTCTTCAATGGGATCGCTGATGTGAAACTTTTGGAACGCGTGTTCTCAGAAGCTGTTCCGGGGAAATGCGAGGTTACTGTGCAGGATGTAGTAAATCTGATGTTGAAAATGGAGCTTGCCTATAAGGTCTGTGACGATCCCAAGAGCAGCCTGTTGATACCATCATGCCTTCCTGATCGTCAAGATGGGGACATGATTAGTTGGAAAGTGGACAGGAAAAATGGGCATGAACAGGAAGGCCACTTTTTTGGCTATCGGATTGAATGTAAAGACAAGACGCAGACAATGTTGACTGCAGGATTCTTCCATCGACTGCAGGTAATGTGTATTCTGCCTTTTTTTTTTTTTGAAACAAGTGTGGTAGTACCACACTTTCAAACTGTAAAGGCAAAAAAAACAACCATGGGCAACGGAAAAATGGCCGTAGTTTGAAAAGGCAG